CCCTGAAAAAATATATTTTGAAATACACGTTTGGGATCCTAAGTGCCCTTGGAAAATTAAAAAAAAACACTTTGATGCGCCCAAAAAGTCCGTCAAAGAAGTATTGTATAAACTCTAAGTTGAGGGCTTTAAAAGCCCATTGAGAAAATATTTTTTTAATCTACATTAAGGGTTCTAAAGGTCATTGGGAAAAACTCTGTTAAAAATTCATGTTTGTAGTTTTCTCAAGTATTCCTGTTTGTGGATCCGAGTATATTCTAAAAAATCCATGTTTGTAAACCCTTCGGTCTTTGGGAAATTATTTTAAAAAATCTACAAAAAACAAAAACGAGAATTTAAAAAATGTTTTTTCAAGGACTTTTTGATGGCCGACAATGGTGATATTTTAAAAAATATTTCTTCATGGACTTTTCGACATTATCGATAGCCATGGACATTATCGATAGCTCCGATAATGTCCAGAATGTCCGTGAAAAAGTAATTTATTTTTAATTCACGTTTTTGTTCTAGAAAATCCTTTATTATGCCCTTGAGTCTTTGGGATTTCATGATCAAAAACGTGGATTTAAATAAAAATAATTTTCAGGACTTGCAAATATAAAAATTATAAAAAATTCTTTTTCAAGGAATTTTAGGGCTATCAATAATGTCCTGAATGTCCGTGAAAAAGTACGTTACTTTAATTCACGTTTTTGGTCCTGAAAATCGGCCTTCGAAAAAATATTTGAAAACTCCCCAAATTAAACAAAAAAATTCAATGACTCTTTGAACCAAAAAACTGGGGTTAATAAAAGGATATTTAGGGCTTTTAATAATGTCCTCGAAAAAAGTACGTTTTTTTAATTCAGGTTTCAGTCCTAAACATCCGTTTATAGGCCCTAGAGTTTGTTGCCGTGAAACTTTTTGAAGAAATTTTTTTAAAAGTCCTCCTCGTCCTAGTCCTTAAGGAAATATTTTTTAGGATTTCGTTTTTGGTGATGAAGTCATTGAAAAAATATTTTTAAAGGCTTGATTTTAGTCTGTCCTGAAAGTCTTTGAAAAAATATCTTAGAAAATTTCATGTTTGTCGATCCAGACAGTCATTGAAAAAATATTTTTTAGTCCACGTTTTTGGTCGTTTACATTTTTTGGTCTTGAAAATCTTTGAAAAATATTTTTTAAATTTTCAAGTTTATTAATAATGAAAGTCCTTGAAATATATATTTTTAAGTCCATGTTTTTGGCTCTGGAAGTCCTTCAAAAATATTTTAGAAAAGTTCACGTTTGTCGGTCCTGAAAGTTCTTGAAAAATACTTTTTTAAGTCCAGGGTTTTGGCCCGTCTTGAAAGTCCTTGAAAAATACTTTCTTAAGTCCTGGGTTTTGGCCCGTCCTGAAAATCCTTGAGAAATGTATTTAAAATCCCACGTTTGTTTGTCCTGTTGTTTGTTTGTTCAGTTGGTCCTTAAGAAAATATTCTTTAAAAAATCCTTGATTTTTTTTTTTTTTTTTTTTGAGAAGATATTCTTTGAAAAAAACACGTTTCAGCTGGTCCTTAAGACATTTTCTTTAAAAAGTCCTTAAAAATCCTGAAATCCTGAAATCCTGAAAATCCTTGAGAACATATAGTTTAAAAAATCCACGTTTATGTCGGTCCTTGAGAAAATTTTCTCTAAATAATTTTCGCTTCAGTTGGTTTGAGAAAATATTCTTTAAAAAATCCACTTTAAGGTTTTTTTAATTTGACTTTTATTGGTCTTTTAGAAAATATCGTCTGAAAAAAAGCCTATGGCTCGGTTGGTCCTTGAAAAAATATCATAAGAAAATCTTCTCATTTCTGTGGATCCTTGTGTAAATATATAATTTAGTTTTAATTTGACTTCTATTGGTTCTTGAGAAAATATCGTCTGAAAAAGAGCTCCGTTACTGTTGTTCTACGGTTTGTCTTCATTAAAAATGTTTTCCTTTCTGTGAATCCTTGGTAAACAAATTTTTTAATTTCACTTCTATTGGTCCATGAGAAAATATCGTCTGAAAAAAGGCTGCGTTTCTCTTGGTTCTTGAAAAACAATTCCCTAAAAATCCTTGCTCCTTATAAGAAAATACTTTCATTTCTGTGGATCCTTGGCAAAAAAAATATCAATTTTTAAAATTTCACTTCTATTGATCCTTTAGAAAATATTCCTAAAAAAAATTGCGTTCATGCTGGTCCTTGAAAAAAATATTTTTTAAAAAATCCAAGACTTTTGGTCCTTAGAGTAAAAACTTCTCATTTCTGTGGGTCCTTGGCAAATTATATATATGATTTTAAATTTCCATTCTATTATTCCTTGAGAAAATATCGTCAGAAAAAGAGCTCCATTACCGTTGATCCTTGAAAAATTATTTCCTAAAAATCCTTTCTTGGTCCTTATTAAAAAATCTTCTCATTTCTGCGGATCGTTGGCAAAAAATATTTATATTTATTTCTTTAATTTCACTTCTATTGGTCCTTGAGGAAATATCGTCTGAAAAAGAGATCTTTGCTGTTGGTTCTTGAAAAAAGATTTTTTAAAAAATCCACTACGGTTGGTCCTTATAAAAAAACTTTCTGCGGATCCTTCGCAAAATATATATATATTTTTAATTTCACTTATATTGGTCCTTGAGAAAATATCGTCTGAAAAAAAGCTGCGTTTCCCTCCGTCCTTGAAATATAATTCCCTAAAAATCCTTGCTCCTTATAAGAACATATTTTCATTTCTGTGGATCATTGGCAAAAAATATCAATTTTTAAAATTTCTTCCTAATGATCCTTCAGAAAGTAGTACTAAAAAATCTGCGTTCGTGCTGGTCCTTGAATTTTTTTTTTTAAATCCAAGACTTTTGGTCTTTAGAGGAAAAAAACTTCTCATTTCTGTGGATCCTTGGCAAAATGTATTTTTTTTTATTTTAAATTTCCATTCTATTGGTCCTTGAGAAAATATCGTCTGAAAAATAGCTCCGTTACTGTTAGTCCTGGAAAAATATTTTTCAAAAAATCCACTACGGTTGGTCCTTATAAAAAATGTTTTCCTTTCTGTGGGTCCCCGGAAAACTATTTTTTTTTTATTTCACTTCTATTGGTCCTTGTGAAAAAAGCTGCGTTTCTCTTGGTCCTTGAAAAATAATTTCCTAAAAATCCTTGCTCCTTATAAGAAAATATTTTCATTTCTGTGGATCCTTGGCAAAATATATCTATTTTTCAAATTTTACTTCTATTGATCCTTCAGAAAAAATTCCTAAAAAATGCTTTCGGGCTGGTCCTTGAAAAAAAATATCGTCTGAAAAAGCTGCGTTTCGCTTTGTCCTTGAAAAATACTTCCCTAAAAATCCTTGCTCCTTATAAGAAAATATTTTCAGTTCTGTGGATGGTTGGCAAAAAAATATATATTCTTCAAATTTCACTTCTATTGATCCTGGAGAAAATATTCTCAAAAAAAAAAAACATGCGTTCGTGCTGGTCCGTGAAAAAAATATTTAAAAAAAAATTCCAAGTCTTTTGGTCCTTAGAGGAAAAACTTCTCATTTCTGTGGATCCTTGACAAAATATATATGATTTTAAATTTCCATTCTATTGAGGCTTGAGAAAATATCGTTTGAAAAACGCTGCGTTTCTCTTGGTTCTTGAAAAATAATTCCCTAAAAATCCTTGCTCCTCATAAGAAAATATTTTCATTTCTGTTGATCTTTCAATATCAATTTTTCAAATTTCACTTCTATTGATCCTTGGGAAAATATTCTTAAAAAATCTGCGTTCAAACTGGTCCTTGAAAAAAATCCAAGACGGTTGGTCCTTAGAGGAAAAAACTTCTCATTTCTGTGGATCCTTTGCAATTTATATACGATTTTTAATTTCCATTCTCCATTGGTCCTTGAGAAAATATCGTCTGAAAAAGAGCTCCATTACGGTCCTTGAAAAAATATTTCCTAAAAATCCTTGCTTTGAAAAAAAAATTAAAAAATACGGTTTGTCCTTAGAGGAAAATCTTCTCATTCCTGTGGATTCTTGGCAAAAAATATCTATTTTTCAAATTTCATTTTTCATTTCAGAAAATATTCTTAAAAAAATCTGCGTTCGTGCTGGTCCTTGAAAAATGTTTTATTTTTTTTTTTTTTAAATACGTATGGTCCTTAGAGGAATAACTTCTCAATTCTGTGGATCCTTATAAAAAAATGTTTTCCTTTCTGTGGATCCTTGGTAAACTATTTTTTTTAATTTCACTTCTACTGGTCCTTAAGAAAATATCCTCTGAAAAAAGTGGATCCTTGGCAAAAAATATCAATTTTTAAAATTTAACTTCTTTTGATTCTTCTGAAAATATTCCTTTAAAAATCTGCGTTCGTGCTGGTCCTTGAAATTTTTTTTTTTTAAATGCGGTTGGTCCTTCTGTGAATCCTTGAAAAAAATATGTATGATTTTAAATTTCCATTCTCCATTGGTCTTTAAGTATGGTCTGAAAAAAGCCCCACTACTGTTGGTCCTTGAAAAATTATTTCCTAAAAATCCTTACTTTGGTCCTTATTATAAAAAAAAATCTTCTCGGATCCTTGGTAAAATACTTTTAATTTCAAGGACCAATATTAAGATCGAAAATTATTTCCCAAAAATCCTTGCTTTGGTTCTTATTAGAAAATCTTCTGGGTTCCTTGGTAAAATACTTTTAATTTCAAGGATCAATAGTAAGGTCCTTGAGAAAATATCGTCTGAAAAAAAGTTCCATTACTGTTGGTCCTTGAAAATTTATTCCCAAAAGAACCCTTGTTTTTTAGGATCTTGGAATTTCATTTTTTTTTTTTTTTTCAAAAATCTCCGTCTTTTTTGAAACTTTCTTTAGATAAATCCTACTTAAGTGCCCCATAAAATCGTTGAAAATTTCTCAGGGCCTGCTGGAAAAAAATATTTCCTGCCATGCCTGAAGTGAAATATTGCCTAGACGATTTGCCATGAATATGGAAGACAGAGCTATTCATTTGAATTGCAATTCATTTGAATGGGTCGTACGTTCGCAGTCACATTGTTATCTTTGTTGTTGTTATTGTCATTGTATTTGTCGCTTGAGCTCTCATTGTCGTCATCATTGTTATTATTATTATTATTAGCATGTTCTGTCATGGTAATCTCATTGGTTTCTCGTTGGGATGAGCTCCAGTTCATTTCAAGCGGCTGCTAAGCTATGCTTTGCCTTGTGCGGTTCACTGGAGTTCAGCGGAGCAGTTCAGCGCTCGAAAGCTCCATTTACTGGAGTTTAAGATATCATTATGTATTTTATACTAATTTAAGTTGTTAACTTATTATTTTTCGTTTCTTTCGTTCGTCGACGTCTTCGTCTTCCTGCTCGTGAAGTGGACATTGTAATTTAATTTTAATTGGCTCTATGGGCTTTTTAAAAATTTCCAGTTCCTCAGTCGGTTTGTCAGAATTTGGTTTGCATGGCATGGCTGGTTTGTGGTTTGGCCATTGAGTGAACTCCTCTAACCCTAGATTTCGGAAAACGACCTGAACCGGCCACTTGGCTCCTCCTTGCATTTGGGGAAGGCATTTACGCTCGCTTCTCATCCTCCACCCCCTCCTCCTCGCCGCTGTCTCGTATGTGGCAAACACTTGTAATTGCTTTTGGCGTTATTAAACTCTGCTGGCTTTGCCGTTTGCGCCATCTGCTGTAATTACTGTACACCACCACCAACAACAGCAATTATTTTTGCTTCGTGGTCGGTCAGGCCAGGTTAGCCTCTAAAAAAAAGCCTAGCAACTACATGACCACAAAATAACCTAAAAAAACCTAACTAAAATCAGGCGATTCGTTATAATTACACTGCAACGAATTGGCCTAAGCTGGCCGAACCAACAAAAAAAAAACTGCCGCACACACATACACACTCTCAGCTATTGCAACATTCAGGTGTAATTTTTTTTTTTGTCTGTTGCCTCAATTCAATTCAGTTTTCATCGGTGAGATTTGATATCCCTTCCTTTTCAAACTCCTGCTCTTTTTGCGGTTATTTTTTTGTTTGGAGGCCGCTGCTGCTCTGTCTTCGTCTTCGACGTCGTCGTTTTTCGTCTTCATCGTTGTTTAATAATGCTCCGACGCGCTAACCAATTAAGGTACGGCACCCTCAAATGAAACGAAATTACAAATGAATTTTTTGTTGTTGTTTTTCTTGCCTTGCAATTTCAATGCGGATCAATACATCAAATTTATAAACAGTTCAGTTTTTTGTTCCTCTTCTTCTTCGGCACTCTGGTTTGTAAGGCAACACAATGGAAAAGGTATTATGGGTTCAATAAGGGGTTTGAGACAGGGAACAACAAGAAACAAGGGTTTTACAAATAATTTTTTCACAAAATCAAAAGAGCGGAATTTTTTGAAAAAAAAAAAAAATCAAGGACCAAGAAGCTTGCATTTTTAAAGGATATTTTCTCAAGAACCAACAGGCGTAGAATATTTGTTGCAAGAACTAACAAAAACGTGAAGTTCCCAGAAGGATATTTTCTCAAGAACCAAGAGACGTGGATTTTTCAGAAGGATATTTTTTCTAGGACAAATAGGATTGGATTTTTTAAAGAAAATTTGTCACAAGGACTCACAGAAACGTGGATTTTTCAAAGGAAAGGAAGGATATCTTCTCAAGGACCAACAGGCGTGAGTTGTTTAAGGATATTTGTCACAAGAACCATTTTTCAGTAGGTTATCTTCTCAAGGGCCAACAGGCATGGATTTTTTTAAGGATATTTGGCACAAGGACAAAGATGCGTGGATTTTCTGAAGGATATTTGGTATAAAGACCAAGAGGCGTGAATTTTTTTAAGGATATTTGGCACAAGGACCACAAGTCATGGATTTTTGAAGTATATTTGGTACAAGGACCAAAATGCTTGGATTTTTGAAGGATATTTGGTACAATGACCAAAAGGCGTGGATTTTTGAAGGATATTTGGTACAAGGACCAAAAGGCGTGGATTTTTAAGGGTATTTGTCACAAGAACCACTTTTTCAGAAGGATATCTTCTGAAGGACCAAGAGGCGTGGATTTTTTAACGAATATTTTCTCAAGGACCAACTGGCGTGTTTTTTTAAAGAATATTTTCTCAAGGACCAATTGGAGTGGTTTTTTAAAGAATATTTTTTAAAGTACTAAAAGGCGTGGATTCTATTTTCTAAAGGACCAATAAGCGTGGAGTTTTTAGAAGTATATTTTCTCAAGGACCAACAGTAAAATAGATTTTTTAGAAGGATAATTTCTCAAGGACCAACATGCTTTTATCTTTTAAAGAATATTTTCTAAAGGACCAACAGACGTGGATTTTTAAAGTATATTTGGCACAAGGACTACTTTTTCAGAAGAATACCTTTTCAAGGACCTACAGACGTGGATTTTTCATAAGGATATTGGTCAAAAGGGACCAACAGGCGTGGATTTTTCCAAAGGATATTTGTCACAAGGACCAACAGGCCAGACTTTTTAATTAATATTTTCTCAAGGACCAACTGGCGTGGCTTTTTTAAAGAATAATTTCTGAAGGACCTTCACGAGAACTAATGAGGATCTTTTAAGAATATTTTCTCAAAGACCTTCGGGACAACAAATTTTTAAAAACATATTTCCTCAAGGACCTTCAGGACAACAAATGAGGATCTTTAAAGAATATTTTCGCAAAGAACTTTAGCACAAAAAACATCGATTTTCTAAGAATATTTTCTCAAGGACCTTAAGGACAACAAATAAGGATATATGAAGAATATTTTCTGAAGTACCTTCAGCACAATAAATGGGAACTTTTAAAAAATATTTCATCTAGTACATTTAGGCCAACAAACGAGGATTTGTAAAGAATATTTTTTCAAGTACCTGAGGCACAAGAAAATTTTTTTTTTGAATTTTGAAGAATATTTGTCGTAATGACTAATAGAAACGGGGATTTACAAAAGGATATTTTCTCAAGGACCAGCAGGCATGGATTTTTTAAAGAATATTTTCTCAAGGACCTTTGGCACAAGAAACGCGGATTTTTAAAGCATATTTTCTCAAGGACCTTCAGGGCAACATATAAAGATTTTTAAAAAATATTTTCTCAAGGACCATCAGGACAACAAATGACGATTTTTAAAAAATATTTTCTCAAGGACCTTCAGGAATGATGAATTTTTAATGAATGACGAGTTTTTAATGAATATTTTCTCAAGGATCTTCAGGGCAACAAATAAGGAAATTTAAGGAATATTTTCTCAAAAAAAATTGTGAGGTACATTCCAAGCCTTCACCGAGGACGTTTTAAGAAACTTTAAAAGGCTATCTAAGAAAACTAAGGAGGGCTATTATAACCTTAAATGTGGATTTTTAAGAAATATTTTTGGAAGGACTTTCTAAGCCATAGATGTGGAGTTCTTAGGAAATTTTTAGAAGGACCATGTCAGCCTTAAACTTTAGTTTTAAAGGAAATTTTTAAAAATATATTTTTGCCTTAAACGTGTGTTTTTTAAGAAAATTTCTAAGAAGACATTCACAGCCCCAAACGTGGATTTTTAAGAAAATGTCTAGAAGGACATTCCCAACCCGAAACATGGATTTTTAAGAAAATTTCTAGGAGGACATTCCAAGCCCTAAACGTTAATTCGTGAAAATTTTCTGGAGGGACATTCACAGCCCTAAGTATGATTTTTTTAAGAAAATTTCTAGGAAAGCATTCACAGCCCTCAATATGGATTTTCAAGAAAAATTCTAAAGGACATTTTTTGCCCAAAACGTGTATTTTTAGGAAAATTTCTAGAAGAAAATTCCAAGCCCTAAACATTAATTTGTAAAACAAAATTTCTGGAGGGACGTTCCTAGCCCGAAACGTGAATTTTTAAAAAAAATTCTAAAAGGACATTCACAGCCCCAAACGTGGATTTTTAAGAAAATTCTAGCCCGAAACATGGATTTTTTTAAGAAATTTTCTAAAAGGACATGTCCAACCTGAAACGTGGATTTTTTAAGAAAATTTCTTGAAGGACATTCCCAGCCCTAAATGTGAGTTTTTTAAGAACATTTTTGGCAGAATATTCCCAGCCCCAAACGTGGATTTTTTAAGAAAATTTCTCGAAGGACATTCCCAGCCCGAAACATGGATTTTTTAAGAAAATTTCTCGAAGGACATTCCCGGCCCGAAACATGGATTTTTTAAGAAAATTTTTAGGAGGATATTCCAAGACCTAAATGTTAATTCGTGAAAAAAATTCTGAAGGGACATTCCCAGCCCGAAACTTGAATTTAAAAAAAATCTAAAAGGACATTCCCAACCCGAAACTTGAATCTTTTAAGAAAATTTCTAAAATGACATTCCCAGGTTCAAACCTGTGTTTTTTAAGGAAATAAGGACATTCCCATCCCGAAACATGGATTTTTTAAGAACATTTCTAGAAGGACATTTCCAGCCCTAGACGTGGATTTTTGAAGAGCATTTCTAGAAGGACATTCCAGCCCGAAACGTGGATTTTTTAAGAAAATTTCTCGAAGGACATTCCCAGCCCGAAACATGGATTTTTTAAGAAATTTTTTTTCCAAGACCTAAATGTTAATTCGTGAAAAAAATTTCTGAAGGGACATTTCCAGCCCCAAACGTGGATTTTTAAAGAAAATTTCTCGAAGGACATTCTCAGCCCGAAAGTTGGATTTAAAAAAAATCTAAAAGGACATTCCCAGCCCAAAACTTGGATTTTTTAAGAAAAATTCTGAAATTACATTCCCAGCACCAAACCTGTGGTTTTTTAAGAAAAGAAGGACATTCCCAGCCCGAAACGTGGATTTTTTAAGAAAATAAGGACATTCCCATCCCGAAACTTGGTTTTTTAAAGAAAAATTCTTAAAGGATATTCCCAGCCAGAGCCATGATTTGTTTAAGAAAATTTCTAGAAGGGCATTCCCAGCCCGAAAATTGAATTTTGAATGGACTATTTTTAAGAGGACTTTTTCAGCATTAATCCTTGATTTTTTAATGAAAATTTTGAAAAGGATATTTCCACCTTTTCTTACAGCAATTCTTTTAAATGCAATCCTAGTCTGAAACGTGAAAATATTATTATAATTTTTTTATTAAAGCATTTTTAGAAGAAAATTTCCAGCCTTCAACATGGATTTATTTGAGAATAGTTTTGCAAGGACATGCATAGTCTTAAG